GTATAAATGATATCCTGTCTAAACATCAGTCAGGCTTCAGGAAGAAACATAGCACCATCACTGCAACAATGAAAGTGGTAAATGATATTACTAGTATGCTAGATAATAAACAGAGTTTTGCAGCTTTGTTTATTGACCTTTCCAAAGCGTTTGACACCGTTGATCATCGTGTTTTAAAACTCAGTATTGGCATATCCAGCCATGCAGTGGGGTGGTTTTCACAAACCACCCCACTGCATGGCTGGATATGCCAATACTGAGTTTTAAAACACGATGATCAACGGTGTCAAACGCTTTGGAAAGGTCAATAAACAAAGCTGCANTCAGGGTTTCCAATGTTCTGAATGTACTTGAAAGTATTGTGTTTTACTTAAAAAACAAAGTGTTATAGTTTACAGAAGGTCTACCTACCTATAGGCTACCTGAATCTCTGAAATGTACTATATTCCTAAATATGCTATTGCTACACTTTATGGCAACAATTGCACTTTTCTGTTGGTCTTGGTTAAGTACCACCTTGAAAAAAATAAACAATGCTTTGTTGCTTAAGCTTATATATTCAGTCATTATTCAATGTTATACTAAAATCCATGCGAAAAAAATTGCTTCTCACTGTTCTCAGGTCAAATATTTATATGTGATTAAAAATGCGATTAATTTCAATTAATTAATTACAAAGCCTCTAATTAATTAGATTTTTTTTTTTAATCGAGTCCCGGCCCTAGTTTTAATATAAGATATTTGTTTGATCACTATTGATTGGTTGGTTTGGGTCACATGGATATGGGCGGCACTCGTTATAATCCTGTTCACCTGCGTGAGGTGTGTGTGTGTGGAAGAGAGGGTGACACAGGGCCGTTGTACTTTTTGTTGACCGCAAGATTAATGATTGCTTTGATCATTATTATTACAATGTCTATGTCTAATCACCGCATATTTTTTCATAAACTAGTAACTACATTACAATTCAACAGAGTTTTGATCTCAGCAAGTACTCTTTTTTAGCGTGTCATACAATATCAAACAGGCCCGGCCTCAGCCTCTCAGCGACTTGTTTGTTTCCTGCTGTCGCTATAGACGTAGTATACATTCCCTGGATTTGTGGTAAGCAAAATAATTGTGCGACATATACTTGCCCATAAAAAACACATGCAAGCATCAACATCACATACCAATGGAAGAGGATTATGGCAAAATTAGCTAAATTAGGGATGTGACCAAAAGTTTAAATAAATACTTTAATCTCTCAGAATTCTGAGAAAAAAGTCAAAATTTTGCGAACGGAGTCAGATTTTTGGGGATTTTCCAAAATAAAAACCAGAAGGTAATACAGTGTACATATTCTGACTTTGTTTCAGAATTCAGACTTTTTTTTTCATAATATAAGAATTCTGAGAATAAAGCCAGAACTCCCCTTTTTTATTTACTTTTGGTTATATCCGAAAACATTTTTCTTATGTGACCCTAATCCTTTTCCGTACTTACCCTTGGTATCAACATGAATAATATTTAATCAAACTTCTAATTCAAAAGCCTTTTTCATATTTTAATTACGACCAGCATCATCCATATACATCAATCTGAGCGGTGTCTGACCTGCAGAGGTCATCCCGGCGGCAGAAGCTCTGCTGGTGCAGGCAGTTGGGCTGCACCCCCTCAGGGTCCTGGTAGGAGCAGGAGGGCACGATGGTCTTCCTCCTCCTCTCCCCACACAGGGTGTTGGTGCAGGGGCAGAACAGGACCCCCAGGCTGTACTCCTCAGGGACCCGCTCCAGGAAGCGCCTCAGGGCCCGGTGGCACTTGTGCTGGTTGCAGCGGCTGGTCATGGAGACCCGCTTGGTGCAGGCCAGGACATACTCTGACCGCAGGGCGCCACACTTCTCATACAGGCCGCAGTCCTGTGCTGCCTTCAGGCACTGGTTCTCACCGTCCAGCTGCATGTAGGAAGAGGCTGAGGGGGTTGGAGGGTTGAAATAAGCCAAGCTCAAAATACCTGTGCGAGCAGTTGTAAAGAAGGAATGGAAGTGCATAGCCTCATACAATAATCGTTCAAAAAGGATATTGATTAGTTGTGTGCTGCAACAGTTTTACTAGCAGAGTGTCGTCTGACTATGCACTCTCACATAGTAAAGGCTCAGAGTTTTAAAACTTTATTGGTTCGATTTTTAGAATGGAGGCCTTTGAAATTAAAATGGTGTGCCTGTGGATTTGGTTTAAATGTAAACAAGTTTGGAGGAAATTAACTCACAAACCTTGAAGCAGATTGAAATAAAATTAACAAAAACATTTCCCAATTTGGGATCAATAAAGTATATCTTATCTTGTCTTACATATTTAAAAGAATGTGTGTGTTTTACCTGCCACTAAGGAGGCCATGTGAGAATCCATCATTGTGTCGTCATAGGGAGATATTTCCAACTCATCCTCACCTGGAGAATGGAGCACAAAAACATTGGCAAACAATCGGTCACTAAAAATGACATTGAATAATAGTAGCTTTTGAAAGATAAATTGTGGGACCAATACAAAGATACAGAGAGAAACACCAATACAACTGAATACAACATCAACTGTACTGGAAGGAGGTCATCAATCTGGAATCAGGCCATGAAATGATTTGAATAGATGGATCAAACCAAAAGATAAGGACGGCTAAGATGATTCAACAACAGAAACGTCTATTTTCTATTGAAACATTTAGCAGGGCATCCGCATCAGGGTAATTATAAATCAGCATTAGGCATATTACAAAAGCCTGATGTCTTAGGCGGTGTATCAGGTCTAACGTAAGGTATCTTGTAGGATTTCTAACAAGGTGAGTCTGGCTGGTTATGTGATGACACAAAGAGTAATAATAACATTTTATGGAGGTGTGAGTAAGCAATGACCCACAGAAGAGGAGCCATATATGGCAACACAGGAAGAGTTAGGAGAGTGGTGTAAAATCCTCATATCCTCAGTTCATGTGTGTAAACATGAGTCATCTGCAATACCAACCTGTAGAGAATGTTGAAATCCCCTAACCTTATAATGAGAGATAACATGAAACCCAGCTGAAATGACGTCAGCATCACACAACTCTGTGTGAGAGATTCTGTGGTGTCTTCTGTTCCATGTCTAAATTAAGTTGTCAGTGTATTTTCTGACAGTTCACTGCATTACATTGACGTTTACTTCACCAAATCTAATTAGAAGAACAAAAGGCTCTCCTGCAGTGCAGTGGGGTCCCTGAAGTAACACTACCCCTTTATAAATGCTAAAATGTTAGTTTCCTTACTTTCCACTTTGAGTCTATTGTGATTCATCCTGTCCATATGTCGTGAAAATTCATCCAAAATGTGTTCATTTCATTTCATTTCAAACCTTTATTTAGACAGATTGGTCCCTTGAGATCATCGATCTCATTTACAAGGGAGACCTGCATCATTTAGTTCCACATGAAACATAAAAACAACAAACAAACAAACAACAGAGGATATCATATTTACATATTCAACATTTACAAATACCCAGAGTGTCAGAAAGCATTTCATTTAGACGTGCCTTAAATACATTCAGAGAAATAAAAATGCTCAATTTCAATTTTGCCTGTAGACTGTTCCAAGCAAGTGGAGCTGCGCACATAAAAGCTGTCTTACCTAAGACAGTCCTTACTCTTGGCACATCTAACAAGACTATATCCTGCGATCGCAGACAATAGCTGCTTGCAACTTTCTGCTTTATCAGTGAACAGATATAATACGGGAGTTTGCCCAACATAGCTTTATAGATAAAAGTGTACCAGTGACTGAGCCTCCGTACAGTGAGTGATGGTAAACCTGCCTTGGTATACAGTGTACAGTGATGAGTAAGTGCTTTACAATTTGTGACAAATCTCAGAGCACTATGATACGCAGCATCTAGTTTGCTCAGGTAGTTGGCAGGTGCATTCATATACATCAGATCACCATAGTCCAGCACAGGTAAAAAGGTCACAGTGACTAGCCTTTTCCTGGCCTCAAGCGAGAAACAGAACTTATTCCTGAAAAAGAAACCTGGCCTTACCCTCAGTTTTTTAAGCAGGTTATGAAGTTTAAAAGAGAGACAGTCATCAAGCCAGATACCAAGGTATTTGTAACAGGCAACAACTTCAAGTCTTGTTCCTTGCGTAGATACAATATCTAAAACAGGCTCTGGTGTCTCTCTCAATATAATCTTCTGTGTTAGGATGAAGGATGAGGGGACCACCAAAGAAATTAGTATTCATCCTCTGGGGTCCAAGAATATCTGCACTAAACTACATGGTAGCTAAAAACAGCCCACTTTAAAAGTCACCAGAGATAGTGAGTCGTTTTACCATAGCATGGTGCTGTGTTTGGTTTCTGTGTGGATGCTCATTATTTAAACCTTGCCTAGTAACACAAGCTACAAAGACGCCTTCAGTTTGTCTATTTTCTCATTTAATAAGTTGTTAAAATGTTGTAAAAGGACGAGAATGAAATGACAAGATATCAGTGAGAGTTATATCAATCGGTTCATCTCACTCAATATAATCTTCGTTTAAAGTCAAATAGGATTAACTCAAGGGGCGGTAACCCTCGAACCTCCTGGTGGACACCGGTGGTCAGGGAAGCCGCCCGACTGAAGAAGGAGACCTTCAGGGATTTGTTATCCCGGGGGACTCCCGAGGCAGTTGCAAGGTACCGACAAGGTACCGACAGCCCGAAGAGCAGCAGCCTCAGCCATGGCCGAGGCAAAGCAGGCGGGATTGTGGGATGAAGTTCGAGAGACAGGAAGGAAAGAGACTTTCGGGCGGCACCAAGGTTGTTCTGGAAAACTTGTCCGACACCTCAGGAGGGGGGAAGCAGGGAACCATCCAAGCTGGTGTACAGTAGAATAGACGTTGGGTGGACCTCAAGCTGCTGTGGAGTGTTAGGGCCGTTGGAAGCGAGCCCACTTTGAGGAACTCCTGAACCCCGGGACCCAACTGCCGCCCTCTATGTTAGAGGCATAAAGGCTGGAGTATGACGGTATCACACCCAATCTCCCAGGGGGAGTTCACTGAGGTCGTCAAACAACTTCACAGTGGCAAAGCCCAGGGGTGGATGAGTCCGCCCAGAAATGCTGAAGGCTCTGGGTGTTGAGGGACTGTCATGGTTTGACACGGTCTCATCAACGTTTGCGGTGGAAGTCGGAAACATACGAAGGGAGTGCGACCGGGGTGGTGGGTTCCCCTTTTTAAAAAGGGGGATCAAAGGGTGTGTGCACCAAATTACAAGAGGCATCACACTACTCAGCCTGCCCCCCGGGGAAAGTTATCTAGTACTCGAAAGGAGGGTCATGCCGATTGTCGAACCTCAGGATTGAGGTGGACCATGCAGATTCCGTCCTGGTCGTGGAACGACGGATCAGCTTTTTTACTCTCGCGAAGGATCCTGGAGGGGGCCTGGGAGTACGCTCATCCAGTCTACATGTGTTTTGTAGACTTG